GCGTGGCTCGCCGAGGACGCGGACGAGGACGCGGACAGGGGCGCGGCCGGAGCAGCCAATTCGTGTCCGTGACAGTGACAGCGCTGCCGCCAATTCCGTGGGACGCGTTTCGCGGGGCCCTTCAGCACTGCGACCGCGCTACAGTGGGCCAGAAGGCCGGTGGAGGGGGTCCAAAGCCCGGACGCGTTTTGAGCTCCAGAGCCGCTAAACGGCACTTGAACCGAACGTGTGAACCTACCAATGGATTGCTCTCCGAACGAGGAATCCATTGGTGGGGTCACACGTTCGGTTCGAGTCCTGTTCAGCGACTCTGGAGCTCAAACGCGTCTGGAGTTTTGGCCGCCTCCACCGGTCTTCTGGCCCACTGTGCGCGCGGCGGGGCCGGACGGGGCGGGGCGGGTGGGGCGGGGCCCTATCCAAAGTTGCCTTAGTTAGTTTGATTGGCGTGGGCCGGCTACTAGCTGGCCGCGGCCAGGACCGCGCGGCGCGCAGCTCGCGCTAGAGTGCACTCTCGCGGCCGCCTGAAATCTTAAAAGGGCAGGGCATCACAGCAGACTGATTCCGAGAGTCGTCGCCGTGTCTCTATCGCACTCATGCGGTGTCCCGTACAGGTGCGAGAGAGACAGAGCGACGGAAGCGACTCTCCGAATCGGTCTGGACTTTGAACAAAGACAGTCGCGTGGCCTGCATTGTTGCGAGACGACGGAGTGCGGTGTACTGCCCGGCCATCAGGACACGTCGGGCGGGTTGCGCTCCCCCTCCCCCTTCTAGTGCCCTTGTTGGCTCGATTCACGGTGTGTGTGTGTGTGTGTGTGTGTGTGTGTGTGTGTGTGTGTGTGTGTGTGTGTGTGTGTGTGTGTGTGTGTGTGCTGTGTGTGTGTGTGTGTGGGGGGAGGGGGAGGGGAGGGGGAGGGGGCCTGTGGCGAGGCAGCGAGGGGGGACAGGTCGGCGAAAGAGGGCCGGGACGTAGGTCGCGTCGCATCCGGAATACACAATCTGTCACGCCGGTTGCTGATTACCAGTGGAGGGTGTAGGGCCTACACTGTAGGGCCGGGCCGCTGCCGGGCAGGACTAAGGACGTGCGGGACCGAAATAACACTGCCGGCTTGCGGGGCCTAGGGCCCTATGCCGCCGGGCCAGCCGGGCCGACTGACGACAAACGCCACAAATAGGCCGCGCAGTCAAAGGGCCTGGAATCTGGAATGAATATTTTTGCATTCGCGCGCCTGGGGGCTGATTCCGAGAGCCGTGTTCGTCGCTCTGTCTCTCTCGCACCTGTGCGGCGCGCCCGTGAGTGCGAGAGAGACGGAGCGACGAGAACGACTCTCGGAATGAGCCCGCTGGTCGTTAGAGGGCCCAGCCCTTGGGCCAGCCAGCCGCCATCGCCCTCAAACGAAATCGCTTTGCGTCTTTGCACGGCTCGTTGCCCGGCCGGCCTGACCTGACCTTGCCGAGGAGCTTGCGGAGGGAATTGCGGCGACTTTTGGTTTGAGACCCGCCGCACAGTGGGCCAGAAGACCGGCGCAGGCGGCCGAAACTCAGGACGCGTTTTGAGCTCCAGAGTCGCTAAGGGCTCGAAACGAACGTGTGACCCCACCAATGGATTCCTCGTTCGGAGAGCAATCCATTGGTTGGGTCACACGTTCGGTTCGAGTCCCATTTGGCGACTCTGGAGGTCAAAACGCGTCTGGAATTTTGGCCGCCTCCACCGGTCTTCTGGCCCACTGTGCTCGCGACGCGCCCCCGGCAGCCAGTCCCAGCCGCCAGCCCCACTTTCGCGTCCTCGCCGCAAAGACCCCGCGACTCCAAACCGAGCTGCCTGACTGCGCGGGTCACGGTCACCGGTCACCGCAACTCGTTGGGGAAACGTCGTGTCAATACCCCGCGCACTAAGGCACGGCGTCAAACGGCGTCAAAGCACACCTGCGGCAGGGGGTATCGCCAAGAGGCGTTTTTCGCTGGTAGCGCGCCGCGCGTCGCCGGTTTGGGATGGGTTCGGTTGCCAGCAGACTGAGAGTTGTTTTCATCGCTCTGTCTCTCTCGCACCCATGGGGCGTCGTGCGAGGGAGACGGAGCGACGGAAACGACTCTCAGTCTGCTGGCGGATTGGCGGCGCACCCGTCTCACCCCACAGTGGGCCAGAAAACCGGTGGAGGCGGCTGAACTTCTAGACGCGTTTTGAGCTTCAAAGTCACCAATTTAGCAATCCATTGGTGGGGTCACCACACGTTCAGTTCGAGTTCCATTTAGCGACTCTGGAGCCCAAAACGCGTCTAGAATTTTGGCCAACCCCACCGGCCTTCTGGCCCACTGTGCACCCCGGCAAGTTGGATGAAGCCCTCCGTGGCGAGAAGGGGAAGGGGGTCTTGGTGTCGCGCGGGCCCGGCGCGGCCCGATCGCACCTCCATTTCCCGGGGACAGCGACGTCTGACTCGAGTCCCCGCGGCGCAGCGTCTCGGCAGTGGGGCGGCGCGGACGCACCCTCTCTCTTCCAGGACACTGGAGCTTTATGGTCATCTCGCTCTCGCCCCCTAAAACCTCCTAGTCTAATTTGTTGGATCTTAACGTTGTCTTGCTCGGGCGGGCAGAGTCCGCTCTGCGCGCTGCTGCGCGCTCCGGGCGCCCTCGGCCCTGCGGACTGACTCCGGGAGTCGCTCTGTCTCTCTCGCACTCGTGGGGCGTCCCGTTAAGGTGCGAGAGAGACAGAGCCTGCTGCCCGGCCTCCGGTCCGAGCGGGGTTCGCCGCTCTCTCTGCTCTGCAGGAGACATTTTCCGTGTGCGCGGAGATTTCATGACAGCGAGCGTGACTACACCTGTCCCCGGGGCCGCGCGCCGCGCTCGGCTCGGCGCTCGGCTCGGCTCGGCGCTCGGCTCGGCTCGGCGGCGGAGGGACAAGGACGCCGACGACGTGTCCGAGGGGAAAAGGGATGGAATAATGAAAATAATTGCGGCGCTTCGTCGCCACCGCCGGGCGCGCGCGGCTTGCTCGCAGGGACCGGGACCGGCAGGACCGCCAGGACCGCCAGGACCGCCAGGACCACGGGGACGGGGCAGGGCTGTCAGAGGCATGCGTGCGAACCGCGGGCGGAAAAAGAGGAATAAAAATTTGATGTGACGCTGAAGTGAGGGCCCCGCTAGACTACGTGCCACGGCCACCTAGCGGCACGTTCGCCGCGCCCGTCGCGCCCCACTCCGCCCCGCCCCGCCCCGCCCCGCGCGCCCCCCCGCCCCCGCCCGCGTCGCCCACTCCGCCCCGCCCCGCCACGACGCGTCTCAAAGAGCGGGGGCCAACACACAGCTGGGGTCGGCGCCCCATCCCCTTCCCCGGCCCCCGCGCCCAGCCTCATGTTTTCAATCTCATTCTCACTGCCATTTCTGCCGCCCCGCCCCGCCCCGCCCCCCACGGCGTAACAATGCCGCCACCCGCGTGCCCCTCCAGACGTGCACGGCCCCGCGCGGGGCCCGGAGCGGGGGCGTCGCGGCCGGCATGTTTTATGCACCACTGTATCTTCGGGGCGCAGCGCCGCGCCGCGCGCAGCCAAATACCACTACACCACACAAGGTGGTGGCGCGCCGCGCCGAGCCAGACCGCGGAGACCTCGCCGGAGACCTTGTAGAAATCCACTTAGTGCCAAGACGACTTTGCTACTTTACACCGTCCGTTAAATCTTAGCTGTTGCGTGCGCGCTTCTCCGAAATTATTTCGCGCGGGGGGCTTTCCCGCCTCTAGTACCGCCTCCCACCCTCTGCTCTCCTCTCCCCGTTGAAGTGGGTTTCATTCTGTTCCGCTGCACTGGAACCCGCCCCACCTGCAAAGCGATGATCCCGCACATCGCGGGCGCCTCTCTGTCTCTCTCGCACCCATGGGGCGCTGCGTGCTGGTGCGAGAGAGACGGAGCGACGCAACGCTCATCTGCATAGTGTACTGTATCGGCACTCCGACTTGGAGCCCCGTGTTGCTGCTCACCGCGATGTAACGAGGCGGCCAAGATTCGCAGACACGCCTGTGTGCCGCGGTCGCCCTCCTCGGCTTCCTCACCTTTCTCGCCGTCCTCACCAGCCCCGCCCTCCTCGGTGTCCTCGCCCTCCTCGGCGTCGTCGCCCTCCTCGGCGTCCTCGCCCTCCTCGGCGTCCTCGCCCTCCTCGGTGTCCTCGCCCTCCTCGGCGTCGTCGCCCTCCTCGGCGTCCTCGCCCTCCTCGGCGTCCTCGCCCTCCTCGGTGTCCTCGCCCTCCTCGGCGTCCTCGCCCTCCTCGGCGTCCTCGCCCTCCTCGGCGTCCTCGCCCTCCTCGGCGTCCTCGCCCTCCTCGGCGTCCTCGCCCTCCTCGGCGTCCTCGCCCTCCTCGGCGTCCTCGCCCTCCTCGGCGTCCTCGCCCTCCTCGGCGTCCTCGCCCTCCTCGGCGTCCTCGCCCTCCTCGGCGTCCTCGCCCTCCTCGGCGTCCTCGCCCTCCTCGGCGTCCTCGCCCTCCTCGGCGTCCTCGCCCTCCTCGGCGTCATCGCCGTCCTCGGTGTCCTCGCCCTCCTCGGCGTCCTCGCCCTCCTCGGCGTCCTCGCCCTCCTCGGCGTCATCGCCGTCCTCGCCATCCTCGGCGTCCTTGCCCTTCTCGGCGTCATCGCCGTCCTCGCCCTCCTCGCTTCACCCGAGCTTCACCTACCTCGCCCTTCTCGCCCTCCGCCATCCTCGCCGTCCTCCCCCTCCTCACCCTCTCGAACCTCTTCGCCCTCGTCATCCTCGTCATCCTGCCGTGACTGCGGACATCGCCGGGACCTGGCCGTCGGCCCCCTTCGCTACAGTATTCCGTTTGTCCGCGTGAATCGAAGTTTGACCCCTCCGTCCCTCTGTGTCTGTCTCTCTCTGGCGGCAACCGACCGTCCCGGCCGTCCGGTTATCGCTCTGTTTGCCCGGGGCTGTGCGAGGGCGATAGCGCTAACAACTTAATCGGACTGTGTTGAACACGCATTGTTATCTGGGGCGTGTGCACTGTGCGTTGACTGCACTTACTGGGGTAGTGGTACTCGATGCTGGTGCCGTTGGCGTTCTGGGGCGGCCATGGCAGCGCCGCCTTGTCGTACTGCGTGAAGATGGCGAAGAGCAGCAGCAGGACGACCTGCAGCGAGATGAGCGCCACGGCCGTCTTGTTCTGGGCGTGCTTCATCTGGGGGCCACAACAAAGCGACATGATTGCACCGAACGCAGCGCTGCGCAGCGCTAGCCGCGCTAGCAGTGTAGGCGGCCGGCCGTCGAGTGGGCGGGGACGGAGTCAACACTCACGTCTTCATCACTGTCGCCATCACCATCACCATGACCGCCATCACTATCATCATCACCGTCATCAGCATCATCATCGTCATCATCAACATCATCCTCATCATCACCATCATGTTCACAGCGGACTCTTGAACCCTCTTCGCGGACCTGGGTCCAGGTAGGGTTACTAACCTTAACCGTTGGAGAGTGCTGCGCCTGCTCCGCGCCCCGCCGCCCGCCTCGCCGACCCGCGCCCACACGCTAAAGTGCCGCACAGCGCATCCAGCGCAGGCCGACCGCAGTTTGGGGCCGCGCCTCTCTCTTCGAGTGGAGTGCCGCTGGAGTCGCCGGACCCGCTGGACCCTGGACAGAACACGCTCGAGTGCTCGGCCAGGCCGCCGCAGCGCGCCGCAGTCATACAGTCAGTGTCCGCGCCGCCGCGCCGCCTGCACCCTCTCGGCCCTTGTCAGGCCCTTCCCCCTCCCCGCCTGCCGCTGCCGTGCCCTGCCGTGCCCTGCCGTGCCGTGCCCTGCCATGCCGTGCCCTGCCCTGCCCTGCCGTGCCCTGCCGTGCCCTGCCATGCCGTGCCCTGCCCTGCCGTGCCCTGCCGTGCCCTGCCCTGCCGTGGTGGCCCTGCCTCGCGTGATGTCAATCCCCGCCGCCATTTCGGGCGCGGGGGGCGATGTGGCCCCGACATGTCTTCGCCGGCACACTCACTCACTCTCACTCACACACACGCATGCACACATACACAGCGACACACACACACACACACACACACAGCGACACACTCACACACGCCCACTCCCGGGGCTTGGAGGCACTACAGGTTTGCGTCCCGCCGAGCAGCCCGTCGTCGCCACTACAATGGTGGTGAATAAAGCCATCGCCCCGTGCACGGGCCGTGAGCGGGGCGCCGCGCTGCCGGGGCGCCGGGCCGCCGTCGCCACGCTGACGAGACGCTGGGGCCACCGCCACCGTGGGGTTGACAGGGAGCCCCAGTCTCACTCACACAACAGCACACTCACACAACAGCACACTCACTCACACACACACACACACACACACAAGGCGGCTCAAGCCCTTTTCCAGTCTCGGCTGGAAAAGAAACCTCACGGCACAGCCGGGGTTGCGTCCGCGACCGCCGTTCTTTGCCCCTGCACCATGCATTGCTCCTTCTGCCATCTTCTAGTACACTGGAGGGACGTTTCGGACGCGGCCCTTCAGCGTTGACGTTGGTTGACGTTGCACGTGGACTCCAATTTTACAGTGCGGAATTCATAATGCCATTAATGCTAAGAATAGGCTCCACCTGCAGTGCAGACACGTGCAGAGAGAAAGTGTGTGTGTGTGTGTGTGTGTGTGTGTGTTAGTGAGCCAGACTGTCCCCGATGAAAGTTTCACTGGATTATTCCTAGTGGCGTGGAATGAACGCGGCCTCTGTAATGAGGATGAGGCGGCGGATGTGCGGGTGCCTCGGCGCGCCTCGGCGTGCCATCTCGCTCCCTCTCCCGCACCCACCGCCACCTTCTGGAGTGCGACGGAAGACATTTATCCGCCCACAGTGTGTCGGCGTTCGCGCCACATTCGTGCCCGCGTTGATTAGTTAAGGCCAACACTGTGGGAAAAGAAGGCGAAAACAAAAGCAGCTTTTGTTTCGTGACGGCAAGTCCCGCCGGATACAATTTTTCTACTTTCTCTTTTGTGTTCCAAAAATTTGGAAAGAAGAAGGCAAAATTAAATTTTGTTCGAAGACCAGTTTTGAGGAAACCTATTTTAGGCCTTACAAACAAAAGCAGCTTGTTTAACAAAGTTTGAGCTTACAAAGAAAATACTTCGTAATTCACAAACTTTTTCTTCGTATAACAAAGTAAATTAAGTTTGTAACATGTATGCTCAAAATACTTCGTAAGGTTTTAAGCGTGTGAGCATGAGGAAATCACTGTGAATTTCAGTGTACAAATTCAATGAGATTCAGTCGAATTTCGATGAATTCAGGCAAAACTGCTGAACTTCGAGAAGAATTTTGATGAATTTTAATAAATTTTGTTGCATTTCAATGAATTTTAGTAAATTTTACATGCTTGATGAATTTTGGAGTACAAATTTGGCTCGAGCTATTTCCCTTTGCGTGTGAGGCTTTGGAATTTTTGCTCTTCTTACAGTGGTCGTGCATTGCCCGGCGCCGAGCCAGGGGCAAAAATGGCCTTCCCTTCCCCATGCCATCCGCGGTCCCAGTGGTGGGCCGCGGCCCTCCCTGTCCGTGTGACACCTTTTCTAGTCGCCATGCCGAGTTTCCCAGTTTTCGCTCCAATATGGCTAAAAGCAGCGAGCAGTGGAGCGGCGCGGGGATGCCTGGCTTCTCGTAGCGTTTTGACAGCCTGTCCCGCGCTCGCGCCGCCGAGCCTCGCGCCGCCTCGCGCCGCAGAGGCCAGCGATCTGGAGGCACTTTGCAAACGGACTCAAACTTTTTCCCCCTTGGTAGGCGAAGCGAAGCGGTCTGCCGAGCGATTCTGAGGGATCGTTTCGTCGCTCTGTTTCACCGGGAAAAAGAAATTCCTGTGGCAGGTCGAATTTCCTTGTCGATATCTGATGTTTTGACTGGCTGGCAAGCACTGAAAACGTAATGGTCGGACACATGGCCAAATTATGGCGTGACAAAAAGTCACGCCAAAAATTGGCGTGACACGAAATTCACGCCGAAAAACGGCGTGACATGTGAGTCACGCCCTCATTTGGCGTGATTGACAACGCGTTTTCTGAGGCAAATCACGCCAAAAAGCGGCATGACAAGAAATTCACGCCAAAAATTGGCGTGAATTTTTGAGTCACGCCGATTTTTGGCGTGACTTTTGTGTCATGCCGTTTAATGGCCTGACACTTTCTTCACGCCCCTGCAGCGGCACGAAGTCACGCCGGTAGGTTTTCAGTGAGTAATTTTAAGCAGATGACACCTTTACGTTAAAACGTACTTTAGGGGGCAATACACTGAAAATGGTCCAAAACTGACTAGTGCGATTGCTTCCAAACGCGTTGTTGTACGTTGTTCAAACTTTTCATGTGTCAAGACCTTACGAAAAGAAGCATTTTAAGCCCACAATGGCGTTGATCGGACGTCAGGGAGCGGAGCAGCTACCAATCAAATTTTCGTCAAAAATCGAACTGGTGGAAGTTCCTCAGTCCGCAAAAATGAAGATATCTCAATCACGTTTGCGCCAAAATGTAGGTAATTGAAGCGGCTATCGCATTAACTAGAACCATGAACATCGAGCAATCGAAAGCACAAAAGTTTACGAAAAAAAACTGTTTTGATCATTTTTGCAAAATCCTCAAAAATTGTTTTTGGATGCCCGTAGATAGGCAAAATGCACAATCGCCCCTGCTGCCGGGGACTCCTTAAACCGCACCAGTCTGGACCTGCACTTCAAGGGGCGAAACCTCGTTTGAGAAAGAAATCTCCACTTGGGGAACGGAAACCAAGAAAGTATTATTTGCATTCCCTAACGTCCTTTGAACGTTTTAAAACAGTTTCTATGTAGGATGATTTTACTTGCCGGTGAGAGAGACAGAGCGTCGAAAACGCTTCTCAGAATAAGTCTACGAGCCTACAGGGGGTCGACGCGGTAGTGCGTTTTAAATAAAGAGGCCGGAAGGCCTGCTGGCCACGCTCGCGGGCCTGTCCGTTCTCATCTCCCTCCCCCTCTCTGACGGGCCTAAAGCTCTGGAGCAGTGGGGCCCTTGCCTGCCAGCGCCGGCAGTGAATATCGTCCGAGGAAGCTGCTGCAGCACTGCAGTGCAACAACCGAGTCACATTCGCCGCCCCCCGACAGGCATGCGCGGACTCGATGGGCAGTGGCAAGACAACTGGAACTTGATTCGGGAAAGTGGTTTGGAGCGCTAATGGCTGCCATGCAGCCAATGTGATAGCAGTCAGTCCATCTGGCCCGGCTGGCACTTATGTTGCCCTCCCTCGGCCGGAGACCCGGAAACAGAGAGAGGAGAGAGAGAGAGAGAGAGAGAGAAAGAAAGAGAGAGAGAGAAGAGAGAGAGAAGAGAGAGAGAGAGAGAGAGAGAGAGAGAGAGAGAGAGAGAGAGAAGGGGAGGGGGGAGGCAGGGAATGCCGAACTGTCGGGCCTCGTCTCTCGGCTCGCGTCACGTCCGTTGTTCTGGAAAAGCCGCCCAAAATTCGGTGGTGAAAAATGGACCAAACTTTTGGCCCTTTTCCGGCCTCGGCCACGGTCTTTTCCTTGCTTGTTTTGGCCCGGCGCAATGATCCGTAGTGCACGTCGGCATACACGGGTCCAGTGTAGTGGCGAGCGAAAGACAAACCGCCTTGTGGACCTACCCCAGACGAGACGGACTTTCTAGCAGGCCTTTTTTGAAGGGACATCACGACAAGAGTGTCGCCCGGACGGACGCCTATGAATAGTTGATGGGCTAGTGATGTGCCCAGCGTGACTGGCCGCCGTGAGGCCTGGGCAGGCAGGCCGGCAGGCCTTGGTGCACCGCGTGCGGACGAGGGCCCTCGAGGAGCGAGACGGGTCCTCCGGGGGCGACGGGGCGACGCCGGCCGCCAAGTCGCACTCCAGTTGCTATATCTTCATCGGCATCAGGCCACTCGGCGTGCGTGACCACTGGCGTGGCCGCGGAGGGGCACTGGACGGCTACGGCCGGCCGACGGCCAGCGTGCAGTGACCAACGAGGCTGCAACACGAAGCTGCGTCCTCCCCGCCCGGCGCGCCTGGTCCGGTCCGACTGATTAAATATTAACCATCCCCCTGGAATGAAGTGCGGTTCTGTGTCCCTCCCCCTCCCCTGTGCCTCGCCCGGCCTTGCCTGCCCGTGCACTCCCCGACAGCAGGACAACCTAACGTCCGTGTTGGTCGAGAGGGAACGGGGCGTTTTGCTGTTGCATGGGACTGCGGGGCCAAGGTGCTTGAGGGACAAGTGGGAAGGGGACGCGCGACTGAACAGGGTCAGCAACAACTGGAGCAGGGTCCTTATTTTCAATAGATAGAGCATAAGGAGTTGAGAAAGAACTTCATCATTTCTTTTTGGCACTCTCGGAAGCTCATTAATGTTCGTCCAAAAAAAAACTTGACTGTCTGAAATAAAGACTTTAAGTCCAGATTTTTCCGTTTGCTACATTGCTTCTTTGAGCCCCTTAGACTGGCGACGTACGTCTCACGTGAAACTCTTTGGCATCAGTTTTTTTTTTGTGGGTTGGGAAGCGTGTTAGGATAAGGTGTAACTTATAAATGAGAGATCGAATGTGTGCACCGGAGATAATACTTTATTGAAGAGTAGTTTACACGCCTTCAACGAGTTGGTTTTACAAATATTCTGACGCGAACATTTTCTTCTGCATCAATAAAGTATGCAATACAGAGCAACTTTTCCCTTAGATTTAATGAGTTTACAAAATTATTTTTATTGCACAGAGTATGCAATGAAATATTTTGGCCGAAAAGTGTAGTTCTCTCCATTTCTTAATTTAATTTCACTTGTTTAGAGTTAAATAAAAGGATGTGTCTGGAATGTTTCGTTTAACAAAAGTAAAACAATACAGAATGATTAAATAAACGAAAAAGAGACCTAATTTTAGACATAGTCTGTCCGCACATATCAAATTTAAGGAACACTACACACCAAATGGGCCATAGCATTGTGAGATTTTCATCCGAAACACCTAATGTTGGTGGCGTGACAGAGAGGGTGGGTCTGGAATGCCTGCGGGTGCGAGAGAGACTCACGATCATTGCGACGCTTCTACCTCGTCGATATTAATAGTTGCTCCTCAGCAGCCGTCGCTCAGACCCGCATGCATTGCCCAGGGGGCATTCGAAGACCATTACCGTATACACTCTCTTCGGAAGGCATTTAAAACACCGGGGTCCGTCACAGGACTGGGCTACGACGATTCCGTCAACTTTTCTCCAAGAAAAACTGCCCCTAGGGCTCCCAGACCAGAGTGGACGATCAATACATCTGCCTTATCTAGTGGAAATATTATTCGTTGCATTACGTCAATTAGGTAACCCATCAAACACTACTTTTAGTCAAAGTGCGACCGGCAGCCGGGCTTTTGTCACTAAACGCCTCTAGTGTCGTCTGAGAACAATTATTTTGAACAGCAAACACAGGAGAGAAGTCTGAGATGTTAAAAGGGAGAACCTCACTACTGATAGAGGTTGAACTGTGGCAAATTACATCAAATAGATAAACCACCATAAATTGGGTACAACACACGAACAACTACAAGATAGAGGACAGGTAAGAATCAGAATTTTCAAAACAGAAACTATTTTTAAAAAAGAAACCGAAAACAAGTAAATCCACACATCTTAACTAAGAAACCACGTAATATACACGGATATACTGTCGGATAGAGATCGAACTCTGCAAGTATTTGTACATTGAAGCACTCACAAAAGCCTGAACCGTGGCATCAGCCTGCGTAGCTTAAATCGAGAGTTTCGTGCGGGAATGACTAGGACAAGTCTTGCAGATTCCGATCGTTATAAAGGCAATACACCGCGGTGCTAAATTCTACAAGATAACTTTTCGCACTAAAGTGTACAATGGCCACGTAAGAATCTAAAAGGATTTTCTTGAGCTTGAAAGGGACAGATAAACATATCCAGGAGGGATTCTACACATTCAATACAAGGGACAGAGGGTGCGGACAATCAAAGTCACCCGTGACTCAAGAAGATTGTTGGGTACCAATTTTTGAATCACTTCATAAGCAGTCAGTAAACACATAAAGAAGATGGCCAAAGTTACTCGTCAAGTAAAGTGAGAGAATATAATTTACATACTGTTGGTCTAGTTTTTTAAAATTCGTATGTACATGCATATATGAAGCTATGTACAATTCACTGAAAACCCATACGCGTTCACCGTTCACCAAACCAAGGTGAGCATATTAAAATGTGCAATCTTCATGTTCACATCACGGCACTGTATGACGGTTTCAAACCGTTCCAGTTCATGTAGTGCTGTTAGCGTCTTAAGTATCGCGCTGGGCTCAGTGGCCCTTAAAACTGCCTTGAATCTTTCTTGGCAATTGGGACGCTCACTGTAGAGTGAATCATGCACATGACCTCAAGCACCTTGATAGTCAACAGCATTTTAGATCAAAATGAATACTGGCCCCGGGATGCGAAAGGCATTTCATACAACTATTTTGTAAGATAACTACTGCCAGTTCACTTAAAACTAAAGCAGCATTCGCCTTTCAAATAAAGCAAAAAATAAACAATAGTCGAACTCTTTGAACATTAACATGTTAATTACTAATATGTACAAGAAGTGAAAAATGTCTTAAACTACAAAAGCACCACGAACAGAAGCCAAGTCAAAGCTTACAATTCGTTCAGTATAAAGGACATTTAACTCCTATCGTGCAGGGAATAAATCACGTAAGTAACTTGGAAAGTTATCAGATCTCTCACATGAAATACATAAAAAACGAACAAGAAACATGTAAGCATTACAACATCGTATCTTTACAAACTAAACATGTATTACGCACGAGCGTTCTAATTTATTCGATCCAATCAGGTAACATAACTATGAGATAGCGCCCATTACGGTGCCACAAAGTTAAACAATAACAGAGACACGGAGTATACGCATGGGTTACACCCGCAGTAAACAAAGTAGCACATTTGCAATACACTAACATGAATCACAATATTTGGCTCTCCACTTGTCCGAACGCACAACTTGCAGAGGACGCATCGGCTACTTTGCACGTTACGATTGACAGCTTCCGTGCGGCACCACGAAGGCCTTCCGCTAACGTCTATAAAGTCTATTCATTTAAGTCGCGTAACAGCCTCATCAGTTCATCCACTAACGACACAAACAAAGCTCTTGTAAACTTTAATACGTAACAGCCAGAGGACACACACACACACACACACACACACACACACACACACTAACACACACATTCATTTAAATAGATCCATATATTCGTTATAAATCATAAAATACCTTAAAATACTTATAAGAGACACATAAATAGACATATTTTTATATAAAACCACAGACAAGATTAGGACAACAGAAATGCTTTGACAATTAAAACAATGTGCATGAAGGGCGAATCAAATGGCACGACTCCATCGTACAAACAAATATTTAAAATATAGCACAGTCAAGAGTGAGTGAGATGTTAAAAATCATGGGTAGTGAACAACCTACGCGCACACATTATAAGAAAGACATTTACTGTACAAACAGAAAAAAACTGCCATACTGCATTTCTGATACGGTCCGCCTCGAAGTATATACATCTTGCCCCGGCTCTTACAGTCGGAGTTTCAAACTAATAGTTACCTAGGTAATTGCAGTCGTCATAGCCTCAACTGGTGTGTCCACGACCCTGACACGGAGGCAGTACACTATCTTTGGTTACAACTACATGGCACGCCCTTGGCAGAACGCCTTCTGCGGAGTACTGCGGGCCTTGAAGGGGTCCGTCCACTTTCACACTCCCCCCTGCCACAACCACAGGCACATCACCCACGCCCTCGCTCGCGGATATATTCCAGAGAGCCGTACGGTCCTCAATCAGTCTTATCAGAGCTTCTTCCCCGACTGGGGTCAGTTGGGGTCGCAGTGGGGCAGGGGGTGAAAAAAAGGGAAGCAAACTCTTTCCTGGACGAGGATAGAACTCATGCATGGGATGTTTTTATTGCGAAAATAACATTTGGTAATGCATGGGTTCTAATATATCAAATCCCACCCAGGAACAAGCTAGCTTTCCCATTTTTACCCCGTGTCCCATAGTTACCCCAAATGACCCTACACTAGAGCTCAAGGAATGCGACATCTCAGTCAGACTGGAGTCACGCGCCCGTTCGCAAACTGTGTTTGAGTGAACGCGCATATCGTCGAGTCGACATCTTATGTCACATATCGTTGATATCCAGTGAACGTCATCACGCCCGGCTGAAAATCTCAGCCCGACTTCCTGGCTAGGAAGTGAAAAAGCAGCTGCAAAACAAACCTGGCCTTCCCTTCCAGTGGTTCTCCGTCCACACAGCTGAGCTCATCCTCTCGGGCAGGTATTGTGCGCCTGAGAGTAAGCTGTCAAAGCTGAACGATCGATCCCCACCCCCACCCTCCAAATTATGCCTGACCCTCCCAGTCCAGAAATAAAAAAATAATTAATGAAAAAATAATGGAAACCCTGACTGCAAAGGTCGCAATGCCGACCGATGCAGTTTAACGCCCGACGCGCGCGATTTGATACACGCCTACTCACACACGCAAGCACCAATGTCCTGCACTTGCAAGTAGTAGAGCACTGAACATTTTCCCAATGCCAGCGTCTCGGACAAGCCTACCAAGCGGTTTCTCTGGCGACGGTACAGTGACGGCCCTCGTGGATTGGAGGACACGCCGTGTAGCTCGAAGCAGCCCTCCCAGGCGGGCTTCGACGGCGCGCGTACTCGCCAGCACTTCGTAGGCTTGTGCTTTCAGACTTGGACCCGCGCGCGGCGCGCTCAGGCGGCGAGCGCCACCGCCCAGGCCAGCACGGCGGCGACGGAGAGGCCGGCCAGGGCGCGGGCCCCGCTGGCGCCGGCCGGGCCCGTCAGCGTCTGCACGCCGTTGGTCTCGTCGAACTCGTTGCCGTTGGCGTCGATGGTGGGGACGGTGGCGGACGGCGCCTTGACGGGCTGCGGGCACGGCAGCTGCTCGGGGTCCAGCTCCATGATGCGACGCGGCGCGCCGGGCGGCATGGCGCGCGCCCGGTGCTCCACCAGGTCGTCGCCGTAGTCGTCGTCCAGGTTGCCGCTGGTCTCCTCCTCCAGCGGGTCGTGGCGCGGCACGGGCTGGTTCGCGAAGCGCGACAGGGCGGGCTCGTCGCGGATGTAGCTGGGCACGTCGGTGCTGCCGGGGAAGTAGCGGCCCGCCTTGAGCAGCCCCGCCTTGTGGGGGCCGGGCACGCCCTCGGGCACGGCCTCGGCGCCCTCCAGGATGCAGTCGGTCTCGTCCAGCGCGGCGCGGATCTGGTCGTTGGGCGTCTCGTTCCGCAGGGTGTAGATCCAGTCCAGGCGGCAGTCACACACGAGGCGGTTGCCTGCAACACAGAGAGACGGGCGCGTCACACAACTTGTCCATTTGCAGCCGCGAGTTAGACACTGACGGCACACTGCCAAACGCCGCCGACGAACCGCCGACTGATAACTCTACGACACCATTAATTTCTCCGAAAGAAAGGCCCCCCCGGGGGCGTCCTGGCTGGCGTCCTGCGGGCTGCTTCCGAGAGTCGTTTTCGTCGCTCTGTCTCTCTCGCACCCATTCGGGGCGCCCCGTGAGAGCGAGAGAGACAGAGCGACGAGTCAGGCTGCTGCAGGGCCTGCCGGGCCCAGCGCGGCAAATGCCTCAAACTCTTTAACGAGGTTTCCAAGCGGCGCCTTCCACATTACCCCGCGGCCTAAGGGGAAATAATGTGCAAACCGCGCCGCGGGGCACTACAAAGGCGAAGGCAGTAGCGCCACGGCGATGCGAAATTCAGCAACTTGTCTCCTGGAGCCTGGGCACGACGAGACAACGGGCCCACGCACTAAAAGGACGAAAACAAATCGCAAGAGAAGTATCTCTTTTTGTCCGAAGCCCCACAGCAATTTCCGAAATCCCTGCGATCCTACAGACGTAAACTTCCCTATCCAAACAACTGTTGCTCGAAGGCGCGAGGCGGGATTACTCTCTCGTTCCCTCTCTGCTCTTTCCACCGGTCTAAGTCGCTAATCGCACTGCACTACTCCGAATCTCGCTCCACTTTCGTTCTCGCTCTCGCTTGATTATGAGCTCGCACGGCCCCTTCGCCCTGGGGCCGCCCTGCAGACTGATTCCGAGAGTCTCGCTCTGTCTCTCTCGCACCCATACGGGACGCCCCGTGAGTGCGAGAGAGACAGGGCGACGAAAGCGACTCTCGGGCTCAGTCTGCCGGGGCCGCCCTGGGCAAGGTGAAGGCTCGGCTGCGAATTAGCGCACGCAGTGCCGCGGTCCCCAAAGACCTCAAGTCAAACTTTCCTCTCCAACTTCGAGGCTCATTCCGAACGCAAGCTTTCGCCGCTCCGTCCCGGAGGGGTGCGAGAGAGACGGAGCGACGGGGCGCCTTTCGGAATCGGCCTGCTGAGCGATTCGCGCCACACAAGGCGCCGTGATGCCGGTCGCTTTTTTGTTGAGGCTGTTGTTGTTTTCGTTGTTTCGGAAAGAACAAGGCTGGAAGTCACGCACGCGCGAGGGCCGCCCCGGCGCGCACGTTAGAGCACGGGGATTCCGGGGAAACAATGTTACTTATACAGCGTACAAGTTCATAATCAATTCAAATTCAAATCAATGAACAACGACGGCGGCCCGTCTCGCTGCTGTTCGTCGTCTTTAGAGGCGGTTTTTTTCTCTTTTTGGGGTCGAAACTTTGTGGCCCGCTGGGCTCCACGCGCGCGCGAGGGACCGCGGGCTGCGGGCAACTGGCGCGGTCTACTAAGTAAACGCCGAACGTTAAAAGCGTTAAAAGTGGCGTCGGGTAAACAAGTGTAAACAAACAGTGCAGTGCGTGGGCCACGGTGCTGATGCCACGGCCTATGCCACGGCCTATGCCACGGCCTATGCCACGGCCTATGCCACGGCCTATGCCACGGCCTATGCCACGGCCTATGCCACGGCCTATGCCACGGCCTATGCCACGGCCTATGCCACGGCCTATGCCACGGCCTATGCCACGGCCTATGCCACGGCCTATGCCACGGCCTATGCCACGGCCTATGCCACGGCCTATGCCACGGCCTATGCCACGGCCTATGCCACGGCCTATGCCACGGCCTATGCCACGACCTATGCCACGGCCTATGCCACGGCCTATGCCACGCATGGCTGCCGTGGCGCCCTCCACTTGCCGGCAATCAATTGATGGTCGGCCAATGGGCCGCGTCAAATTACACGGCCGGCCTGCTCGCCGTCTCTGTCGCACCCCCACTTAACGCCCCAACAGAGAGAGAGAGAGAGAGAGAGAGAGAGAGAGAGAGAGAGGAGAGAGCAGCTCGTCGCGTCTAGCTCGGCCATCACGTCGGGGTGAGCGCACAGGGCATGGGGCCAGCCGGCAGGCTGATTCCGAACGGGGATGGCTTTGACGCTCTGTCTCTCTCGCACCACTGTGGGACGGCTTATGAGAGCGAGAGAGACAGAGCGACCCGCCTGCCTCCGTCGCCTCGCGCGCGACGCCGTCGTTTGCGAGGGTCGCTGCCATGCAGCAGGCCTAGGTAAGCGTGCACCCGCACCACCGTGACCCAAACGCGGTGGCTGTCAAGGAGTGTCGTCCTTACAGTGCAGGTACGACATGAAACGGAGCCGCTTTCCGCCACGGCTTTGAGTTGAGTCAGTTACCAGCCGCCCCTTAACAACCTGCGGCTCAGGCGTCGCGGCGGAGACACCGCTCTCCCTCCGTGGAGCGCGCCGGCAGACTGATTCCGAGTGGGAGTTCCCTCTCTCGCACTCATGGCGCGCTCCGTGCTGGTGCGAGAGAGATATAGACCGACCGACCGCCTCACTGCAGGGAATCAGTCTGCAGTTAAGTATTCATGCGCACACGATCCCAGCGTGTACTGAGTGCATCTCACACCCAGCAGCAGTGTCAATGTCTCTTTGTCACTCAAGGTGCGACACATCAGCCTCGTCAATACACCCGCTGCTCCGAATACTTGTTTGTTTTGGAGAATTTTATCAAAATTTGCGGTGGTGGGGATTTGGACCAAGGTGGACACAGGCAGCCACCGGCTGAACCTGAAGCCTCCGCCGCCAAGTCCGTCTCGCCTCCCCGGTGTTTATCCTGGGTCCCCCGGTTTACGCTGCTCTGCTGTGCCAAGACCTGGACGGCCGCCGTGGCCGAGGCTCGGCCGCGCCGCCGACACAGGTGTAGCTGCTTGTTGGTTTGTTGTCACTGCCATCTATATTTAATTAGGCTGTCGACGCGAAATGTCCGTCGGACGGGCGGACGGCCCGACGAGCGAGGGGGCGGCGGCCAAGTCCCTGCTGGTCCTGGTCGCTCCGGGCCCAGCGGCACAGCAGACTGACTCCGAGAGACGTCGCTCTGTCTCTCTCGCACCCACACGGGACGCCCCATGAGTGCGAGAGAGACAGAGCGACGAAAGCGACTCTCGGAATCAGCCTGCCGGCCGGCCAAGGCCCAGGTGGTGCATGAGAAACTTTTTGGACGTCCCGCTGAGGCGGGGCGAGGCGGGGCGAGGCGGGGCGAGGCGGGGCGAGGCGGGGCGGTCTCCAGGCGTTTAACAGCGCGCGGCAAGCCGAGGCGTTCCAGGGCGTTCCAAGGCTCGGGCACCCTTCCCTCGCCATCAGCGTCTTGCCTCTACACCCGACAGTATGACCTGCGACCCCTAACAGCGTAGCGGGCGTAGCCACGCTGGCGGCCCCGCAAAGTCGCGCAAAAAGCTGCCGTCAAATTGGACCCTTCCCCCGTCCGTCGCGGCCTGGCCGTCCCGACCAAGCGATACCGAGGGAGTCGCTCCGTCGCTCTGTCTCTCTCGCACCCCTACGGGACGCCCCACGAGTGCGGCGGAGACAGAGCGCGAAGTCTTTGCGGCGCCTCAGCGCGACTAATAAAAGGTTTTTGCAGTGCGGTGGCGCTGCGAGGCATGCCTCGGCCGCGAGTCGCGAATCGCCCTCGCGGGTCAAACGCTGCTCCACCTGCGGGTCGTTCTTCATCCCACCGGCAGCAGGCTGATTCCGAGAAACGCTTTACATCGCTGTGTCTCTCTCGCACCCATACGGGACGCTCCGTGAGTGCGAGAGAGTCAGAGCGACGCAAACGACTCTCGGAATCAGTCTGCAGAGATAAACCGAAAGACAGCGGGTGGCCGGGCCGCTCCGTGGACACGTCGCCGACCAAACCGCTTTCGCATCAAGTTTGCCGCGGGACGCCGCAGGCACGCCGGAAAAAAATGTATGAAAAATAAAATGAAGTGCACACTTTTTTATTTTTATCGACGGGGAGCATGAGCGCGGGGTGGACGAGCACGGCCGGGGGCACCGGGGGCAGGCAGGTGTGGTGTGCAAGTTTGGACCGACTCGGCGTCGCCGCCAGACCGAGCGTGTCGCATACTGGAAGGGGTTTCGTCTGGGCGTGACTCCGCTAGCGGTCCGGGGGCTCCCCCCCCCCATTTCCCCTGGGGATTCACCATACATGCGTTACCACTGTACACACATACCCCTCAGTTCTCCTCATTCCAGAGCTCCAGCGGGTACCACACTCTAAATGCCACACGATGTAATTTGAGCCCCGTTACGGTGAGTTCGGCGCAACAGCAAAATGCGGAGCAAAAATAATCCTTCCAGGAGGGCGCGAATTCATTTTGGATTTTCACGGTTCGATACAAAGTAATGCCTCGGCAACACGAAGAGGAACCAAGTTGGTATAAAGCTTGCGCCATTTTCGTCGTCGTCATTTGGAAAATTCTTTCGTACGAAGACATGTACAGAGTGTAATCCCGCTTTGCCTCACCCTTCGCTCCGCCGTTCCGCCACCTCCTTCCTTGTCTTTCGCCAGCCTCCTCTTTTCCCCACTCAATAAAAACCCGAGCAGCGACTTCGCAGCGCCGCGGCCGATGGCTTCCGCGGGAGGTCCCCCCCCCGCCCCCCCTTCCCCCCCCCCCTTTGGGGCCCCCCGGGGCCCCTTTTCAGCGATAATCTCGTTATCAATTATCGAGACGGGCCTTTTTGTCTCGTAAAGGAAGGGCGCGCGCGCCGCCGGGTGGCGGTGGGAGAGAGAGAGAGAGAGAGAGAGAGAGAGAGAGAGAGAGAGAGAGGAGAGAATCCGAACAGGTGGCGGTGAACCCTGGCGGTGGGTGCCGCCGTGTCAAACTGCAGCAATTTGCACGTGTATATTTGCGTGCGCGCACGTGTGTGTCGGGGACCTTTTCGGGAGGGCGCCTGATGGGACGGTGTCGTAGCAAGCGTGTGGGTGCGGGGGAGGAAGACCCTGTGCCGCCGTGTGTGTGTGTGTGTGTGTGTATGTGTGTGTGTGTGTGTGTGTGTGTGTGTGTGTGTGTGTGTGTGTGCTGA